CTGATATAAAAATAGGATGGACATGCAGAAGGGGAGAGCAGAGAAAGAATAGCTAGATAATGAACACTGAACTGGAATGGAAGAGAGTGACTATCTGAAGGGAATGGGTGATTGGACATTGTGTATATGACAACTGGCAATCTGGAACAAGATAAGGATTAGAAAGCAAATTGAAGGAGGAAAATAGGAGGAAAATGTGCATCAATGAAGGAATGAAAACCCATCCTTTCTATAAACTTCAACTAAAATCACAACAAAAATTTTAAAAAACAATAACTATATACACACAAAATTATTAAGCTTAACTTCAGAAATAAAAAAGTTAGCATTTTCTTATAATTAAAGAAAAGCAAAACGAACAAAGCTAGTATAGTGGCAACATCTTTAAATTAAAATAATTTGTGTTCCAAATCTCTTTATTCAAATCACCACTCCCTTTCTCTTTACCCCCAGGACAGCATATTTCTCTCATTCAAATCTCAAATGGATTAATAAACTTCAAAAGCACAGACAGATTCATGAACACAGATGTTCTTCTGCATAGGATCAACATGTGCAAAACATTGGAAACAATAACAAAGGACAGATTAAATGAACCAATGAACTGAGATGATGAAATAGTTTAAAGTCCTTAAAATCATGTTTGTAGAAACCATTTAGAGACATGAGAAAATCTTCATGATACAAAGATATAACTATTTAGATATGTTCATATATCTAACTCACTATGTACCTGCTTATCTATATCCAAGAGTTCTCTGAATTGTTTAATTTTGAACTATTTCCTTTCCTTTAGTATATTCTTTGGAATTCTAAACTTATGCATCATTTTATAATTTAAGGCATACTTTTAATATCTGTAATTAAATATTTTTATAGGCCCTTATGTCTAACTCACTATATCTCATTAACTATATTCAAGAGTTCTCTCTGTTGCTTAATTTTGAACTATTTCCTTTCCTTCATTACCAACATTATTCAAAATAGCAAAGAGTTGAAAGCAACCCAATTGTTCATCTACAACTGAATGGGTAGAGAAACTATGGTATATCCACATAATGGAATATTATGCAACTTTGGAAAAAACAATAAACTTGTAAAACATTATACAACATGAATAAGTCTAGAAGACATTATGGTGAATGAGATATCCCCTTCACAAAAAGGCAGATACTGCATAACACTATTGAAATAAATAATAAGATCAATACAGAGGGGAGAGAGAGAAAAGAATAATGAATATTGTACTCAGATGAGTGGAAAGAAGGACAATTTGAAAGAAAATGATGATTAGAAAATAAGCAGGGTGGAGCATACTCGGGGTGGGGGTGTGCGAGAGGATTGTATAACAATGAAAGAGTTTTGCTTTTCAAGGAGAGGAGATAACTGGGGTTGGGGGTGGGGGTGGGGTGGACGGGGAGAAAAGTGCAACAATGAATGAATGGAATTCCAAAATCTCTCAATCTCTTTGTGAATTTTCACTAAAACAAACACAATTTTAAGTATAACATTAAAAATTGAAATTAAAATTAGACTACTAAAACTAACAAATATTTAAGATGTTATTTTTTAAATTCTATTAACAAAAGTTCACTTTAAAATTCAAATTTCAGGGCTGGAGATTAGAGCTACAATGTCAGTGTCTACAGATTATCTTTGAAGAATTCCTGTGAGAACTTCTATCTAGATTTTAATAAATATAAAAATGAAATCTAAATCCTGCTGGCTCTTAAGCGAGGAACAGCATTATTAAAATAAACTGAGAAAATTATTTATTCATCCTTACTTTTAATAGTGTTTTGCAATGGAAAAAGTTCTGTACTTTTTTTCACATCCTATTAGTCAAAACATTATAATCTTAACTTTTTAATGTATATACATATGTACACACACATACACATTTCTTTCTCCTCCCAGTGTAGCTCATAACTATATTTTCCCACAAAGTTGTTGAGCATTTTCCTGATAACCCAATAGGACCATGTTTTCTAGCTTGTAATTTTTGTAGGAGCTATAAAGAAGCTATTGGAGGGGTTTGAACTATTGATTTTTTATTTAGCAGTCTAGTGTTTAACTAGTAATCAGTGTTCCTTGTACGTATGTTACTCTCTTTTGTTACCTTTCTTTTTATAGATTTGAAGATTCTTTGTTTTGTTTTTAACAAACAAACATAACTCATTGGCATCGAGTCATTTTTGCCTATTTTGACTTCAATTTGATAATTTAACAATCAAAATATTTAAGAAAATCAAGCTGCCAGCATGTTTTTTGAAAAAATTTAACTAAAATAACAGTTCACCACTGAAAATGTTTCAATCTTCACTTTACTTACAATAAAACTAAACTCCTTATCATAAATGCCTGGACCATGCATGATCAGACAAAGTCCTTATTATAATCTACTGAGCTGTCAATTAGCAACTCCTTCCATCTCATCTCAGAGGACTCTGTCCATCACTTGCTCCATGCCAGCCATGACGGCTTTCTTTATAGTCTTCAAGCAAGTCATGCCTGAGCCTTTCTCAAAAGGTGTCTACTTACCATTTTTTGACTTTTGAAGGTAACTTATCATATCTTACTTATGCCAAGCATCTTGTTGTCATTCAAGTCTAAACTCATATATTAGGCTATCTTGAAGAAGACAGGCATCTGCACCACTTTATTCATTATTATATGATCGCATCATCCTTACCAATCTCTGAGCTTATTTATATTTTTTTTTATTTTACTCTTTATATATTCATTATAAGCAGTGTAAATCCCAGAAGAGAAGAAACATTTCTGTTTGTGTCCAGATCAGTAGAAAGTGACCTGTTAATAAACAGGCCATATTGTCTCCAATGGTGACTGTCAATAATCACGTACACGTGTGTTGCACTTTTATTAAGAAGTTTAATTGTCTATATCTTTAAATATGGGTTGTTCTTGTGATTCAGTTTTGAACAAATGTATTCTACGGAAGTAACATTGTGTTAGTTCTGAGTCTAGTCCTTAGAGGTCTGTAACTTCCATTCTACTATCTTTGACTCCTGGCACACCCTATAAAGAATTCAACCAATCTGTTGAGGGAGAAGCCTTAGCAGATATGATACTGTAAAGAAAAGGCTTAGCCAGCCAAAACCCCTTCCATTCCAATTATCACACAAGAGCCACATACTAAGTTAGCAGTGAAGATTTTTTCGGATCCTGCAACTACTCTATGACAGCTTCACATTGAATAGAACAAAACCCAGCATCTTTTCCACTGACCAAATGCAGAATCATAATTAGGGATTACAGTTTCAAGTAAGAAAAAAAAAAAAAGAAAAAATATATATAGTTATGTGACAATGAAACATATTGGTACCAGAAATTGCATGTTGCTATAACAAAAGCTCTTAAGCTTCTACTTTAATTCTCTTTGAATTCTGAGCCTCCTTGTCAATAATCTACCATCACTGAGTACATTCTGCCTCCTGATGACCCTCCATTTGTTTTCTGAGGCTATAATTCTTAATAGTAGGAGGCACCATCATCTTTATCCTTTGGAGTGGCCTGTGGGTTTGAACTGTTGACTATTCAGTTAGCATACAACACTTACTGAACTATGTCACCTGGGGATGTGGGGGTGCAAGAAACTGCTGGCAAGAATGACCTAAAAAGAGAGGCACTGTAGGATATGAGAATACAAAGAAAGAGAGAGGAAATGGCCCAAAGAGTCTCCATTCAGCTTAGTCACTTTAGATAAGGTTGTAGAAAAGGGTGTGGTGTCATTTTGGATCCTTCAGAATCAATTGATCTGCTTCAATCAATAATGAGCAATGAACACTGGCCCAGTCCTACCCTAATTACAAAAGTGTGAACAAGTCTTTGACTCTTTTAAGTCACAGAGTTTTGTGATCATTTGTTTAGCAAGTGTGGATAGCTGCAATAATAAATTACTAAGCAAATGCATGAACAGCTTCTTCTTTATTCCCCAAATGTGCTATCAACATTACAAAATTGTATCAGAGATTTCAACATCTTTACCAGTTTTCTTCTATAGGTTTCCTGGTTAAAATATAGTTTTTACAATAGAACTTTAAAAAAAAATTTGAGATTACTTTGCAGCATGAAACAAATAAAAATATATTATTTGAAAAGTTATTTCTGATTATATATAGTTGTTAAAGAAGTTATAATTGAATTAAGGAGTAAATAATCCATTATATAATAAAATAGTTTTTGTTACATTTTCTTTCATATTTTTAAGAATTAAGTTTGTTATAAAAACAAGCAAATAGTTAACACAGTTGAGAACATATATTATATAAAGATTGTGTAATGTTTTATTGCAGAGCCAATAGTGGACAAGAACTTAATTGGGACATAATTGCTTGCACATCTGTTTTCATAGACATCATAAATTATATGAAATACCTTTCTATTCTCCCTGTTAGTAAAAGATTGGCTAAACCATAACTGCCTGAAGCAAAATAAATTATGCCAAAATATGTTTACTTGCTATGTCATCTGTATCTACTTAGGAATAAAATTAAATATAAAGGGACAGATTTTTCAGGTTACAATGTAATTAAAAAAATCTATCCTATGTGACCAGATAATCCAGTTTCTAACCTGTTACATCACCATCAGAGTGTGTCATCCCAGTTCAAAAGCAAAAAGAATGAACAGATAGGTCTTGGAGAGGGTGTAGCCAGAGTGCTATTTGGAGGCAAGAATGATGACGCTTCACCTTGTACACTTTGGGCATGTTGCTAGGTGGGGCTATTTCTTAGGGAAGAACATGATGCTGGGAGGGGTGGAGGGTCAGCGAAGGAAAGGAAACCCTTCAACCAGGTGGACTGACATGGTAGCTGCTACAATGGGCTCTTGTGTGTCAGGAAGTGGGAGGATGGCCCAGGACAGGACTGGGTACGCTATGAGTCATACTTGACTCAATGGCATCTAACAATAATAACATCCCAGTTCAATACATCTTTTCAGTGCTGTTTGAAGGATAGTAAAATCTTGAGATATACCTGTCAAATGATGGCTTTTCTCCACAGTCAAAGGCATCCTGGAGCTCTTTAACGAGATTAGCCTGACCTGGCAGTCGAAAGAGCCCTTCTTCCTTCAGCCCCCGTTGCCGGATAAAGTCCACACACTGCTCCACCAACATTGGAGCCAGCCGATTCCCATAACGTTTCTCATAGCGGACAGTGTCTTCCAATTTCTGTCCAAAAATACCTAGAAAAAAGAAAAGATGGTAGTGAACTGAAAGAACTCACATCTTTGTAGTTTATTGTTTTTTTGAAGTTGGAGCTTCCACTCTAGGAGTTGGCTTCTAACATCTTGATGGTGGCCACATAAGGGGAAGTTTTTGGGTTGTGTTTTATGTGTGTTACTGATCCCCCCCCCAAAAAGTGGGTGTCAGTTTAACTTTTGACTTTGTGCCAAATTTAGAATGAACATTCTTTAAGTGATACAGTAATCATTTGTCTATTTGCCGCACTGAATAACTTGGAGTTGCTGTGATTCTGAACATTGTGCCAATAGTGGTGTCAAATAGGATAATGGTTACCCATCATGTACAATGTATTGTGGAGCTTCCAGATTGATTCAGGTTGGGAAGCAGGAATGACATCCACTTCCTAAACTAGATGCCTCTGGAAACTATAAACTCTATAAACTTACAGAAATCATGTTAATTATAGAACAGAGTTCAGGTCTTTTGTGCAAGGGTTGCTATGATCTGTATTCAACTTGACAACACTTAAACACTGCTAAGTGAAACTTGTGTTGCTATAGTTTGAGGAACATTCCTCTACTTTATACATCAGTCTTTATCAGTGTGCTATATGTAGTAATCTGGTTTTGCTGATGTTGAACCTTGTGCCATTGAGGTATCAAAAACTCTAATGGTTTCCCAGTGTGGACAGTCTTTGGTAGGGGTCCCAGTTATGAAACAGGTTTGGAAGCAGGAGTGGCATCCACTTCCTAAACCACATGCTTCTGGAAACTCTATGTATTTGGAGAAAGGACAATAATTATAGAAAGGAATTAGGTCTTTTGTTCATAGAGTTGCTATGAGCCGTTCTCAATAGCAATCAACAACAGCAACTACAACAACAATTTTAAAGAAAGAACAAAATACTAAAGAGGCATGCATCATTAGAAATAGAAATTGTCATAGATTTCACGTTACTTGGATCCACAATCAATGCACTCAGCACTTAGGAAACCTGCATGTTTAATGCAATTCCAACACAGCACACTCAGGGAAGATACTCCAAATATGCAAAGCTCTTCTTAGAAAATGAAATTCCACTTCTATCTTTATATCCAATTATCATTTCATTTTAGCATAACTCAATATTTTTCACTTTTCTTTTTCAGTTTTGTTTTCAATCAAGTGATGATCTTGAGCTGTAATTAAGATGAGAACATAAGGAAAAGAAACTAAATTACTCAAGAGAAAATATTCAGACTAATTCTTCTTTAACTGTATTATTTGACACAGTGACTTCAACAAAGAGTTGAACATGGTATGAGTATTGTAAAGATGACTAAAAATTGGACATGGTTTCAATCTGTTGTTCATAGGGTTGTTATGAGTCATAACTTGATGTCATCTAGCAGCAGCAACATCTGTACAGAGAATCTTTAAGCTATGAAGCAATACATAACCCAAAAACAGTAGAGCCACATAATGTGCATTGGCAATGAGGTGTATTTTATTTTATTATGTACATTGTCCAGAATTCCAAAACTGTTGTTGTTTTGCACCATCGAGTTGCTTGTGACTCATGGCAACCCTATATACAACAGCTCTGAAACTTGCCCTGGAAGTCTGGAACTGGCTCCTATTCACCTCCCCTCATCATCCCAGTTACCGTATTAATCCATCTCTTCCAGGTATTCCTCTCCTGCACTGTCCCTCTACCCTTCCAAACACATCCTTTGCCAAGGACTGGTACTTCCTGGCCACAAGCCCAAAGCATTTGAGATGGAACCACAAAATTCTAGCTTCCAAGGAGAGACTTGGTTCCACCCTCTCCAAGATTATTTCTTTTCTTGATTTATTTCTTTCCTTGGTGGTCCATCATATGTTCAAGACACTCCTCCTGCACCACAATTCAAAGGCATCAATTATTCTGTCATCCTTAATCATTGTCCAGCTCTCTTATGCATAGTAAGTAATTGTGGAGACCATGTCCTGGATCAGGTGCACATTAATCTCTAGACTGAACTTTTAGGATTCTTTTAAAATGAAATGAAAATATCCACAATGTAATTCTTACTGCATAACCCTATTGAGTATAAGTCTGGTGCTGTTATGTGCTGCTGAGTCAGAATCAGTTCATGGTCAACTCTCCAGTAAGTTTTCAGAGGCTGTAAATCACACTAGAGGATACTGTCCAGCTGCATCCCTTTGGGTTGGTAGTTCAACTTTCTCTCATGGAGTAGCTGGTGGATTCGAACTACATACCTTTGGCTTGACAGGATAACTTCTTTCTGCTAAGTAACACGATTATAAAACTAGTTTATAGTTATTTCTAATTCAAGTCAAATTCCATGTATGTCAGAGTAGAACTGTGCTCCAACAAAAGGATTTTTTAATAGCTGATTTTCTGGAACTAAATTGCCATATCTTTTGCTTCAGACGGCTTTGAGTAGATTTAAATCTCCTCAGTAGTAACTCAGAATATTAACCATATGCACAACTTAGGGGCCTCAACTACAAAATAATGTCTCTAAATTGCAGTGATGCAAAACTAGTTCATCTATGAGAAGAAGACATAAAAAAGACAGAGAAAATGTCATGTGAGATGAGTATCACAGTAATTTTCATAAAGTGAAAGAAAAACAAATATTGCAAGTTGAAATTATGTAAGAACCCTGAAAGTTTGGGGAATTGTTTGCAAACTATTGAGTGAAGCTTTTATAGTCACAACAATGCTTGACCTATCCATCTCAAAAATAATTTATATATAGAGTTAGCAATACAGAACTATCACGTTTCACATTAAATACAAGCAATGTATATTTGCTACCAAAGAGAATTCTTTTTGCCCAGATGGTTGTTGTTAAGTGCCGTCAAGTTGAGTATGACTCATAGTAACCTGATGAACAAAAGATCTGGACCCTGTTCTCTCTTCCTGACACAGAATAACCCATTGCAACAATCACTATGTCAGTCCACCAGGCTGAGGGTCTTCCTCTCCTTTGCTCATCCTTTACCCTTCCCAGAATCACGTCCTTCTCCAAGGAATAGTCTCTCCTAGCAACATGCCCAAAATATGCAATAGGAAAACTATTGTAAATCTGCCTTTATCATCTTTCTCTTTGGGGAAAAGGCTACTGACATGCAAGTGCAAATAAAGAGGAGTTAAGAGATTATAATTTTCTAAGAGTGGTAAAGATTAAAGTAGGTAATATTCTTACCTGTCTTCTTGTTGTTATTGTTAAATGTCATCGAGTTGAGTACAACTTACAGTGACCCTAGGAGCAACAGATCCGAACTCTTCCCTATCCTGTGCCATCCTTCTCCAGAACACTGGAGCCCATTCCCACAGACATGACACTGATCCATCTCATTGAGAGTCTTCCTATCCTTCTATGATCTTCCACCTTTCCAAACATGCTGTCTTCTTCAAGGAAAATCCTGTCCTAAAAACATGTCCAAAATATGTGAGACAAAGCTTCACCAACTTTTCCTCAAAGGAACATTCGATTTCCACTTTGTCCAACACATATCTGGTTTGTTCTTTTGACAGTCTGTGGGATATTCAACACTCTTCTATAACATGACAACTCAAATACATCTATTCTTATTCTGTCATACTTATTCATTGTCCAGCTCGCAGATGCATATTAGGTGGTTGGAAAGACTGTGGCCTGAGTCAGGGGCACCTTAATCATAAGACTGACATGAGTGATCCACAGGGCTTTGGAGAGATCCCTGACTTTTCCAGTGCTGCAAGTCTCCTGATCTCTTGACTGCTGGGACTAAGGGTGTTGGTTGTGGATCCAAGTAAGATGAAGTTGTTGACAGTTTCAATCTTTTCTCTATCATGATGTTGCCCATTCTATCCAGCAGTAGAAATTTTTGTTTTCTTGACTTTAAGATCCAATCCATATCGAAGAGTGTATTCATTGTTATTTTGCAACAGGTACTTCAGGTCCTCCTCACTTCCAGCAAGTAAAGGCTATCTTATCTGCATAATGCAGGTTGTTGATGATTCTTTCTCTGATCTTGATGCCACTTTTTTCATAGAGTCCACTTTTTTGGGTGATTTGTTCAGCATACAGATTGAATAAGTATAGAGAAAGAATACAGCCCTGACACACAGTTTTCCTGATTTAAATACAGTGTTTTCTTGCTTCATCTGGACAACAGATTATTGGTCTACATATAGATTTCATATAAGCAAGATGACGTGTTCTGGAATTTCTGCTCTTCTCAGGGTTAACACAGTTTGCTATGATCCACACTGTCAAATGTCTTTGCATAGTCAATAAAACACTAGGAGACATTCTTCTGATAGTCTCTGCTTCTAGCCAAGATCCATCTGATGTCAGCAATAATTTCCCTAGTGCCAGAGCCTCTTCTAAACCCACCTTGAACATCTGGAACTTCTCTATCAAAGTACTGTTCTAACTCTTTTTGGATTATTTTCAACAATATTTTGTTTGCATGTGATATGAATGATATTGTTCAATAATATTCACATTTTATTATACCATCTTTCTTGGATATGAGAGCAAATTTGGGTCTTTTCCAGTCTGTTGGTCAGGTTATCTGTTTTATAGAATTTAGCAAAATTAGTTCTCTGACAATGGTTTCAAGCATTTTCTACTATTTCAGCAGATATGCACAGTCATCAGAGTTTGTCACATTATCTCCAAATTAATACTGGAAAATGAAATCATTGTCCCCTTCCCAGAGCAGTAAGGGATGGCTGTGTGGCATTATCATGAATAAGGAGGTTTTGGGTATCTTTAGGAAAACAATGTGAAATTTGGAAGATGAATAAGGATGACAGAAGAAGAATCAGTACCTTTGAATCATGGTGTTAGAGAAGAGTACTGAATATTTCAGGGACTGCTAAAGAGTCAGCAAATATATCTTGGAGAAAGTTCAACCAGGATGCTCCCTAGAGGCAAAGATGGTGAAATCTCATTTCATATATTTTGGGCATGTTTTTAGGAGGAGCTAGTCTTTGGAAAAGGACATCACCCTTGGG